ATGCAACGAGTTATTACTCATGAAGATAAAATTAATATGTTTTCAATCATTGAAACTACTTATGAAACAGATGAACAATTGAACGAGATTTTACATGATGAGAAACGTAACTCTCATCTTTTTAATCTTGCTCAAGGTCTTGTCTTTCGATGTCATCTTATTTACTACAAACAAATCTCTTCAAATCATCTTCTTTCTCACAAAGATCTACTTATTTTCAATTTTCATCATGCTCTATTTGACTTTCCATCAATGCAGGTATTTCATCATGATCTCAATCAAGCATATACAACAGGTCAATTATTGTACGATGACAACAGTGATCTTCGTTATCTTGATTGTAAATATAATTAGTTCTTATCTTTTACCTAATACATTCTTTTCTTTATTATATAATAGATGCTGTTACTGAACAACAAATGTCAATGACTGGTGCTAGTATGTTTTGGCTTCATGCTCTTCATGATTGTAAACTTGATCAAACTTTACCATTGCCATTTGATCGATATCGTCTCTCAAATGAACATCGAACTGGTCGTGGAACATCTGTTTCTTTCCATTTTGGTCAAGATCTCTCACATGATTTTCTCACTCATGCATCATCAAATAACATATCACTTGAACATCTCACATTTGCTATTAATTTCATTTTTCTTTTTAAATTAACTAATGGACAAACAGATTTATGTCTGGCTATGAACATTAATAATAATCGATATAGAGATGAACTCAAATCAATTATTGGATTGTTTGAAAATATCGTTCCATTACGATGTCAATTAGATCCACATTGGTGTTTTCATGAATTACTCAAACATGTTCAAGACATAACAACAAATAGTATGAAATATTCATATTTTCCACTCCAACGTATTCTCAATCAACATCCACATATTTCAAAACATGCATTTTTGGATATATCTCTGGAATTTATATCATACGAGAATAATAATACAGTGATGATTGGTGATTCTCAACTTGTTCCAGGATCTTTCTCATTTAATATTAAAGAAGATGAGATATTAAGTGCATCCGACTTCTCACTTTCTATTTATCACGATATAAACATGAATCAACTGTCATGCACAATCAATGCATCACTTGACATATTCAATAGAAATACAGCGGAGAAGATTTCACAACGATTTCATTTCATCTTACATCAATTATCTGCATCTGTTGTTGATAATCAAATGAACAAACCAATCTATGAACTATCATTAATATTGCCAAATGAACGATATCTAATGCAATCAATGAATAATACACAAATATCATTTTCATCTCCTCTCACTTGTATTCATCATGAGTTTGTGCATCAAGTAATGAAATATCCACAAAAACTAGCTGTTGAACTAGATGAACAATCATTGACATATTGTGAACTTCTATATTATGTTCAAGTATTATCATTAACTCTTCTCAATGAATATTTTATCACTCCAGGTACGGTTGTATGTCAATGTGTTGAGCGAAGTTTGTCAATGGTAAGTTAACTATGATAAGTAAGTATTGATGTTAATATGAGATTAATTTTAACTAGGTGATTGGTATTATGGGAATTGAAATGGCAGGTGGTGTTTATTGTTCATTATCACCTCGAGATCCACAACATCGTTTGCATGCATTCATACAACAAACACAAAGTCGCCTTGTTCTTGTTCATTGGTTGACCAAAATGGAATTTAATAATGATATTCTATTAGCTGATATTCATTCGATACTTGCTAATAATGATGTAATAAGCGATGCTGATTTTGATCGACTATCATGTATTACAGTCACACCTAATAATATTGCTTTTATCATTTTCACAAGTGGTTCAACGGGAATACCGAAAGCGGTAAGTAAATAATAGAATTTTTGTTTCCCGTTTCTATTGCTCTTCATTCAAACAGATTCAATATCGTCATGAAAACTTCATTCGTTTTATATATTCATTTGGGAGTGTTACCACATTGAAGAATGATGACGTAGTTGTCCAGATCGTTCGATGTACTTATGACGGTCATCTTCGACAAATAGTTGGTATTTTATTAATTGGTGCTACATGTGTCATGCTACGTCCAAGAGGAATGACTGATTTTGAGTATCTGGCTGATGTGTTATACTATAAACAGATTACACATTTCAGTACTGTACCAGTTTTAATTCAAAGATTTTTCCGTTTCCTCATTCAGTCTAAGAAAATATATGCTGTGAAGTATATCCGATTACTTTGTAGTGCAGGTAAGTGAAAACAGACGCTTTTCATGATTTTCTTCGCACTGCACTTTTCTTTCGATAGGAGAAGCATTTCCTTCCAAACTGATTGATCTGATCCAAGAGAGCAATATTCCCAATTGTACTTTATTGAATTTATATGGTCCAGCTGAAGCTACTATAGTTTCTACCTTTTATAGAGTACATTCCATGACTAATACACAAAGTATTCCAATTGGTACGCCAATTTCTAATTACCGATGTATGATTATAAATGAATATTCACAACAATCAATCCCTAATCAAGATGGTGAATTATTTATAGGAGGTATTGGTGTCTTCGCTGGTTATCTTAAACGTGATGATTTAACAGCAAAAGCTCTTATCGAAATAGATGGTGAACTATTTTATCAAACAGGTGATCTTGTTACAATGGATAGCAATGGTCTTCTTCATTATCAAGGAAGAAAAGATCATCAAATCAAACTACATGGACAGCGTATTGAACTTGGTGAAATCGAACGATGTTTACTCAACATTGCATCCATATCTGATTGTGTTGTCATGAAATGGAAAGATGATTATTTAGTTGCTTATGTTCAAAGTTCTGATGTTAATGAACAGGAGTTGCGTGAACATTGTCAATCTCATCTTCCACCACATATGATTCCATCTTTCTTTATTATACTTGATAAATTACCTTTGAATCAAAATGGAAAAATAGACAGAAAACATCTACCACCACCTAATTTTTCATCGTCGACTGACAATCGTGATGGTAATGTGCCGCGCAACACCTTAGAACAACAGTTACAAGATATATTTGGCCAAGCTTTTCATATCGAATCTCCTCATGTTGAAATTCCGTTTGGTCAACTTGGTGGAACATCGTTGGATGCTATCCTTGCACTTACATTGATTCGTCAACAAATCTGGAATAAAGTTGACATTGGTCTTTTATTTACTAATCCATCTGTTCGACAACTGGCTCAAGCTATAAAACCTTTATTAATTTTCGAAGAACTACAAGAGACAGCTTCCACAGTTAATGAATTTCATGAAATACATGATTATCTTGCACCTTCATTTGTCATCGAATCTTTAGGTGTTATGCTTCTTGTTTGCCAGTGGTTGTTATCAATCATGATCATTCATCGATGGTGCCCACTTCTTTTTCCTATCTTACCAGTATGCCATCTGCTATTCTATATCATATACTCACGTCTAATTTCACCGCGAAACATCAAAGACCACAATATTTTCTCTTGGAACTATTATCGTTGGTGGTTTTTAGATCGACTATGGAATAATAATACATTTTGGCTACAACATATACTTGGTACACCTTGGTACAATTACTATCTTCGTCTTTGTGGTGCTCGAGTTAGTCTGAATGCACATATTTATACGACAACCATTGATGCTCCATGGTTGTTAGATATTGGTGATGAAACTTGGATTGCTGATAAAACGAATTTAAACTGTTTATATTTCAATGATGACTATACTTTTGCATTACATTCAATTAGAATTGGTTGCTATTGTTCAATTAGTGTTCGATCAATTCTGTTTGGAGGAGTTGATATGCAAGATAATATTATTGTTCAGCCTATGTCATCAGT